TTTGCTGGCGCCCGTTTGCCGACGACAAACGACAAACGACAAGCAACTACAAAAAACAGCAACAACAACAAAAAGTGAGCCCTGCGTTTTGGCGTAAAAGAAAACTTAATTTAAGCACATCTTCAAATTGCAAACTTAACGCGTGTGTTGAAAAATAAAATAGTTGGTTGTGCGTGTGTGTGCGAGTGTGTGTGTCTTGCTGGAATGTCAACTAACAAGTTGAAATAAAAAATTGTTAAACATCAATATAAATGTAAAGCAAAATCAAAACAAAAGATACAGCTGCAAGCTACAGACACAGGTACACAAAAAGTAAATACACATATAAAAAAGTATATATACACATATAAAAAAAAGGTATATATATCTATGTAAAGTGCGCGCGGTATTTGCATAGCAACAACAACAAAAAGAAATCGTTGAAAATTAAACGTTTCGTGCGGCGACTCACTTTGCATTTTATATTTTGGCATTTGGTTTGTTGTCACTTTGGAAAATATGTGGATTACTGTGCCGTCAGCAGAAACTCCAACAACAACAACAACAGCAACAGCAATCACAACAACGGCAACAGCAGCGGCAACAACAGCAACAACAACGACACGAGCCCGCTGCAAAGGCGAGCGCGTGAACAAATCGCAAATTGAATATCAAAAACAAGAACAACTAAGTGCAAATGCTTAAAGTATCTGACAGATACGTTTCTGGTGTGTCATGTGTCCTGACAACAACAACAGCAACAACAATTGCAGCAACACACAATCAGTGCCAGCGGCTCAAACTGCGCCTCGAGTGCGGCAATAAAATTTTTAACAAGAATTTCATCTATTTCATATACAATTATCGCAAGCGAAAAACGCCGCAGCGCAGCGCAGCCGAGATTTGATTTATCAAACACGATTTATCAGATATATAAATACATATTGACAAAAAGAGCGTGATTTTTGTGAACGTGCAACACAAGCTGCAACACGGTAGCCGCTTAAGACCACTTAAAACAGCTGTAAATTGTGCAAATATATCTAACGCTCAAGCGCAGTGAAAAAAAAAGAAACCAAAGCAACAACAACAACGACAACAACAACAAAAGAGATAACAGAACTGAGCAACTGAAAAAAAGAAGAAAGTAGAGTAAACGTCATAAATTCATAAAGTGTCAGCTGAAGTTACTTTTTTTCTTTTCTTGAGGGTAATCGATCAAAATACGCGGCTTACAAATTAATAACTAAAGAAATAAACAAGAAGCAGCAGCAGAAGAAATAAACGATATATATATATATACATATATATAACTATATATACACAAGTCGAGATCCCGAGATACCGACCAACATAGGAAACTTTATAAGACTGAGGTGAGTTCTTGTCACTGACTGAGTGTGCAGTTGTGTGTGTGTGTGTGTATTGTGTGTGTTTGTTTGAACTTCAACTCAACCCCCGCCAAAAACCCAAAAAAAAGTATCTCAGTTGCCGCTAAGCTTATGTAAATTATTGTACATAAAAAAAATATTTCTTGTTGCCTGTGAGAACCGACCACACACACACATATATATATATATATATATATATATATATTTATACCACCACCGACACTGATCCAATGCCAATATATGCATAATCACTCTGGCCACAATTTGATATGACACCATTTTGTTTTTGAATGTTCTCCACCTGATATTTGAAAATTGAGAGAAACATTTGCTTTACTTACCTTTTTTGGGTTTTTTGGGTGGGGTATTTTACATAAGTCTTTGGCGGGTCAAATGCCTTTTGTGGTATGCACTTGGTAATCGAATTAATTTGAAATTTAATAGTGAAAAATCATGATGTACAAATATATATATGCAGTTCTATATATATAGATCAATTTAATATGGTTATAGTCAATAAAAATATGTAGAACAAATAGGAAGATGTAGGAAGAAGAAGTAAATTGCAGCTTTCAATATATATATGCTAACAAAATGTATATATTTTAAAGGAAAAATAATTGTTTCAGAAAATGAATAACATAATTTTATTCATACAAAAATTCTTATAATTTCATAAATTTTATTTAATGTCGAAATCGTCTATTGAGGTTAAGGAAGCAAAACTTTTTGGTATCAAGAAAAATTCTTATATTCATATTATTTTTACTTCATTTTGAGATTTTACTTCGTCCATCAATAATTTTTCCTTTTATTATTATTACTAAATCTTACTAAATATCATATATATTGATGGAGGAATAGGTGAAAATCCTATTTGAGACTAATTTTGTATGTACCATTAAATGCGTAATGTTTAATTAATTCTATGGACTTTTTTGCGGCACATCAAATGTCACAATTAAATCAATAATCCAATAAGTACAATATCTATATCTATCTATTATTATACTCCTTTTCCTTTTCCAATTCCACTTTGGATGTGTTGCCATAAAAGGGGCGTGTTGTTCCCATCGTTAAAGCAACGCAATAACTTAACTAAACCAAATCAAAATATTTTCACGCGTTCGAGAAAGAGTGTCTCTCATAATATATCATAATCATAATAGATGCCCGGGGGAGATTCCCGGAATGCGTATTGTTGGCTCACAATAAAGTACCGTTTTGAGCCGGTGTTTGTTGCAACCTGAAGTGTTCGTCGGCATCGGCACAAAGCCACAAAAGATGTCAATGTCCTGGCACATAAATTACAAAACCAACAAAAAAAACAAAACTATATAATATGAATTGTATTCGTATTAGTAGTATTGTAACTATGTATCTATGCATTTTGTATCTTTGTATCTTTGAGTGCGTGCTGTGTGCTGTGTGCATTCGTTGTGCTCGTTTCTCACACAGGTGTGTGCTGTGTATTGTGCTGACTGTGTGTGACACACATTAGTATTTCACTATATAGTATCTAGTATCCATTGCCCAATCGAAATCAAAACGTTAACGCCAAAAAAATGTGTCAATTTGCGCAACAAACTTTTTTTTGGCATTCAGAAAAAAAATGGGAAAACCTCGCTGAAATTTGAACTTCAGTCAGAGTAGGCGGTTTTTCAGAGCAGGGTGAGAAATATGCGTTGAACTCTTTAGAGCTGAATGGAAATTGGAAATTCCAAAAAAACGACTGACATTCAATTTTTCATTTGTTTGCCAGGGGAAACCCCCGTTAAGACAACTCAGGTAGTCCTGCTGGGGCATAAATATATGCAACAAGAATAAACAACAACAAATTATGAAAATTATGAAAACTCATAAGGCAATCGATCGATAACAAGCCGAAAAAAAAACCCAATGCATAATTATGAAAATTTCATTCACCCTTTCAAAAATGCTTTCAAAATTGGTTTTCTTATCACAAGCGAAAGATCTTTTTTCTCTCTCCGTCTCTCTCTCTCTCTCTCAAAACCCCCGTCGTTGGCACCCCCCAGCGTGTGCCATCTTTTTTTTATAATTTTTTTGTTTCGATTATAACGAAAATACAGAATTTCCTTTGGCGCCTTGCGCCTTGTCATATAACAAATTTTTACTACTAGATAAGATTTTAATCTTTATGTGAAAAACAACATGTAATTTGTTGTGCCAGCGACGGTGTGTATTCGTTTGTGTGTGTGTGTGTGTGTGTGTGAGGCACGTAGCTGCCTGCACCTAATACAAGTGTGTTGTTCTTGTTGTTGGGCTCATCTTGAGATAGCATCTCACAAATTTATTGCTTATAACCAACCACAATATATATATATAAGTCTAAGTAGAATACTTTTAATAATTTTCATAAATTTTCTTCAGTTCTCAAGATAAAAAACCAAAAAAAAAAGCAGTCACCGAAAATTTGTTTTTTTTTTAGTTTATTCTTTGGTTAAGTTTTTGTTTTAGAAAAATGCCGCCTGTGTATAAATCAAAGTGCTAAGCGGCGATAAGTTTCGAACATGAAATATTGAACAATAATAAAACAAGTTAAGAGCGTGATGGGTGTGCAGATGGAGCGACCTGAAGATACCCTATGAATAACTCCACTTATAAATTAAATATATAAAAGATAGACGAAAAATGTCTCATTCTTTGTGTTGGCTTTCCACAACTTTCTGATACCCTATTTTTATTGGAAATATGAAAATATGAGAAATGATGACGAGCCTGGTTGGCTTCTCTAATTTCTACTCTAACACACATATTATTGAACCCACTTGCTGTGTGTATTTTGTTGTTGATTGTATTGAATTTCTAAACGTAGACACAAATCGCTGCTGCATACCACAGATCGTGTGTCACTCAGTCAGCGGCCCAAAAGGTGCAATGTCCGCGATTGCAACACAAACAGCCAAAAAAAAAATGTGTACAAAAAAATATTGAGTTAAGCTCAAATGAGTTGAGCCAAGCTAAGCTAAGCTAAGCCTGGCTAGCTGCTGGTGGTGGGGTGGTGTTAGGGCGGCGGAAGGGAGTGTTAAGGTTTTTGGGCCAGCAGCCACACACACAGCTCAATTTATGTTGCGCTCAGGACGCACCTTTCGCCGGGGCCATAAAACTTGGGTCTAAATGGGCCAGGCGCTTAAGGAAGCTGCTGCTGCTGCGACTGTTGCTGCTGCTGCTGCTGCTACCTGGCTGCGCTCGCTCTCTCTCGCTCTCTCTCTCTCTCTCGTGCTGTCTCCCACTCAACACTTGAGAACTTACGCTCGCACGCTCTCCCACACTGGCGCGCTCTCCCACACTCCCGCGCTCTCTCGCTCTCTCAGTCAGTCGAGTAGCAACGCACGCAAACGCATTTGTGCGCTGTAGTCATCTCGCTCTGGCACATGCGCATGCCCAGTCGTTGTACTCAGGCACTTGAGTGTGCGCTCTTTGAGTGAAATTGGTATTTTTTTTTTTTGTTGGATTTGACTGTGTGTTCTGTTTGGCTGACAGCGTCCGGCACAACTAGCGACGCCGGCTGCGTCGCGTCAGCAGCGACGCTGGCGCCGACGTCGACGTCCGTGTTTTAACCCTATCGACAAATGCTAAACAATTTCCTATGTTTTTGTATCGTTTCAGAGTTGCAAGCGACCATGCGCGCATGGCTTCTACTCCTCGCAGTGCTGGCGACTTTTCAAACGATCGTTCAAGTTGCTAGCACCGAGGATATATCAACGAGATTTATCGCAGCTATAGCACCAACAACAACAACAACAACAGCAACAGCAACAACTAAGGCCATAATCAATAATAATACAACAACTAAAAGAGCAGCAGCAGCAACAACAACAGAAACAACGACTACAGCATTAGCAAAAGCATTTAAGCCATTTAACGAGTTACATCTCAACAACAACAACAACAACCACAACCACAACAACAACAACAGCAGCAGTGATAGTGATATTAAAAACAACAACAAGAAAAGCAAACATAGCAAAAGTGCCACATTCAAACAGTTTAACGAAGTGCATAAAACAAGAACAGACCAATTAGAAAATTCCAAAAATTCCAAAAATAAGCATAATAATAAACATCATAAGCATAATAAATTAACTAATAATAAAAGCAAACACAATAACAATAAAATGGCTATCAAGGAGCTGCAACAACATAAAACAGAATCTCAAGCACAAACCGCCATTGCGAATGTGTTTGCATTGCAGGCGCCACAAGCTGCTTCCGTTTCTGCCTCCACATCCGCATCCGCCTCCATTTCCAGCTTCAACACGGATACGGATACGGATACGTATACGAATAAGGATAGTGTGCTGGGGGAATTCGAAGTGCCGGGCATTGCGGATGCCATCATTGCTGAGGATGAGCCGGCAACGTATAGCAGCAAGGAGATCATCAAGGACAAAGTGAAACCAGATCCATCAACTCTAGTCGAAATCGAGAACAGTCTCCTCTCGCTGTTCAACATGAAGAGGCCACCGAAAATTGATAGATCCAAAATCGTCATACCGGAGGCAATGAAGAAGCTCTATGCCCAAATTATGGGACACGAGCTCGATTCCGTCAATATACCCAAGCCGGGACTATTAACTAAATCAGCGAATACAGTCAGAAGTTTTACACATAAAGGTGAGTCTCGATTTTACTATCTATAATATATATATATATACTATATAAGTTTAAGAATCGGGCACAAATAACTTAGTTAAGGTTTTTACCTAAGTTACAGAAAATCTTCACTATAATATGATGTTTAGTAATTATTTTATTCCACTCTTAATATTTAAAATCATGCAGAAATTCTAAAGATTGTTAGTTGGAAAACCTACAGATATAAGCAGAATGTGTTGCTAGATAATCCAAAAAAATAGAACAGACTTATTTGCAAGAAACTCAAAATATTTTTAACATAGAAAATACAACGTTTTTTTAAATAAAAAAAAAAGAACATGTTTTTTTTAGATACAAGCTAAAATCTGAATTGAAAATCGCATATTTATCAGTTTCATTGTCTAAATGATTCTAAATACAGCTATGCTTAAGATAATAGTAGAGCTTTTGCAGATTGAATAATATATATTAATTCTCTTTCAAGTGTTTGAAGTATAATTTTTTGTTTCAAGTTTAGTCTTCTTCTGACAAGTTGAGCAATTGAAAAGTAAGTTTTTCAAATTTGTAATACTTAAATAAAAAATATTCAGTATCAAAGCTTGTAAAGAACATCTTTATTAATATTTTGAGCACAACTGTATTCCAGTTTTGGACTCTTCGTATTAAAATATAAATTTTTGAATATTAAATCTTTTACTTATTGAAGAATCAACTTCTTAGATTGAGTTGTGTTTTAGATATCATAATTAATTATTAAAATGTATATAATATGTGTACTTTAGGTATTCCATAGCTCAGCCAGATTGCATGACCTATTTTTGCACCTGCTCGCCGTGTGGCAGTTGCAACAGCATCTCTCTCTCTCTCCATTTCTCTATCTCACTCTCTGCCTCGCTGCTCACTCTGCAGCTCTCATGTGCAGCGCGTACTTGCCGCTCGCGAAACGCGAATGAAGAGGCATCCAGGATTTCCCCTGAAATTCTAGTTCATCTAAAGCGATTTGCATACCTGCTGACCATATAACTAAAAAAAAAGAAGATAATTCGATATCTATCTTTTGGTCATCATTCACGCAAGTGTTGTGAAATCACGCGGAAATTCCGCAGCTTCAAATGAAAGGACTCAGGCTAAAGGGACGGCAGTTGCACATTGCACGTTGCACGCAGTGTCCTTTTACCTGAGACGCCGCACTCTTAACCCAAATGTGACCTTGAAATGTTTCAACGGAATTACACCCGGAACGTTTAGCGCATGCGCCAAATGGCTTTTATATTTTATGTGTGTTTGTAAAAATAACAATTATTATTAAAGCGTATTTTCGCATTATTTTCCACAGGATTAGAGAGGATGAACAATAAAGCAGTTAGGCCAGACTCACACACATAGATATTTATATATATATATATAGATAGATATACAAATATGTTGAACAGGTAGCACTCTTGGACTGGCCAAGTGTCTAAAGCCAAGTGTCTAAGCCGAGTAGTTCGAGTTCGTCTCGGTTTCAATTTATCGTCCTGCTCGGGTCCAGAGAATTTACGACTTTTTTTTGGCTGTCTTTGTTCGAGGTACTTGAGTTTCTTGGTTCTGGTTCTGGCTGCATTGCTTTGCTGATTCAAATTAAGATTTCGCCGTGCCACCTTTGCACCTTGCGGCGGCGGCAGCAGCAGCGGAACGTGGGTGGGTCAGGTCCTTTGCAACAGGCGCCAGTCGTAAAAGGCGGCTCGACAAAAGTGACAAGACCAGCAGACACAACTGGAACGTGTGATTCTCGCATCTCTCTCTCTCTCTCTCTCCCTCTCTCTCTCTCTGTCTCTTTGTCTTTATTTTTATATAGCCCTCGAACAGCCTTCGTATTTTGTCACGTATCGCGTCATGATTTAAAATCACTCAGATCAAATAAATACATAAAAAAAACTCGACAAAAAACTTTCAACTTATAGTTTTTATCTGGGAATATTCCAGAAACTAAAGTATTATAAAAGCAGACTATTAGATATAACTAGCAGAGAACTGGGAAGAACAATAAGTTTTTGATATAGACATTTTATAGACACTAAATACGCGATTTTTAGTTGCCTTCAATCATATTTCCCTCATTTTTAATCTAAAAAAATAGAAAATGACAGAAATGATTAATATATCCAAATAAGAAACACATTTTTAGTCAAATAGTTGCCATTTAAAGTTAATTATAAATATGGATTATATTATATAGTTTACACTATCTCTATTAAATCTAAGATTATTTAAAACTAAAATCCATATCCTTTTTTGGTTTGATTTGCAGATAGTAAAATCGACGATCGGTTTCCGCATCATCATCGGTTTCGTCTGCACTTCGATGTGAAGAGCATACCCGCCGATGAGAAGCTGAAGGCCGCCGAGCTGCAGTTGACGCGGGACGCATTGAGCGTTAGTACGTCCGTGAATCGGAGTCGCTACCAGGTGCTCGTCTACGATATAACGCGGGTGGGTGTGCGTGGCAAGCGGGAGCCGAGCTATCTGCTGTTGGACACGAAGACAGTGCGTCTGAATAGCACCGATACGGTCAGTCTGGATGTGCAGCCCGCCGTAGATCGGTGGCTGGCCACACCGCACAAAAACTACGGCCTGCTCATCGAGGTGCGAACGATGAGATCGCTCAAGCCGGCACCACATCATCATGTACGCTTGCGCCGCAGTGCGGACGAAGCGCACGACGACTGGCAGCACAAGCAGCCGTTGCTCTTCACCTACACGGATGATGGCCGGCACAAGTCACGCTCCATCCGGGATGTGGGCAATCGGGAGGGGGCGGGCGGCAATGGTAATGGCAATGGCGGTGGGGGCGGCGGTGGCGGCGGGGGTGGAGGTGGTCGGAATCGGCGACATCAGCGCAGATCACGACGAAAGAATCATGAGGAGATATGCCGACGGCATTCGTTATATGTGGACTTTCAGGATGTGGGCTGGAGTGATTGGATTGTGGCACCGCCGGGCTATGATGCATTCTATTGTCACGGGAAGTGCCCGTTTCCGCTGGCCGATCATCTGAATTCCACAAATCATGCGGTTGTGCAAACCTTAGTCAATAATCTCAATCCAGGGAAGGTACCAAAGGCGTGCTGTGTCCCAACACAGCTGGAGGGCATCTCGATGCTCTATCTCAATGACCAAAGGACGGTTGTGCTCAAGAACTATCCCGATATGACGGTAGTTGGCTGTGGCTGTCGATAAAGACAGGGCTAATAATCAGAGCGAAAGCGAGAGAGAGAGAGAGAGAGAGAGAGAGAGAGAGAGAGAGCGAAAGAGAGCAAGAGCGAGAGCATCAAATGCTGTTTGGTTCCAAGCCGTCAATGCTTTAAACACAACGCAAACAAAATGGACTGAATATTTGAATTTTAAGTGTAAATCGTAGACTTTAATTGTATGTAGAGCGAAATGCACCGCACCATCCCCTAAAAAACAAACACACCCCCACCAATCCCCACTCAGCAGCAGCAGCAGCAGCCGCAGCAGCAGCGCCGCCTCTGTCACTTTCCACAGCCAGGCTTTGGAAATGTTGCACAGAGCCCGTGTGACGAAGAGACGCCGTGATCAAAATAAAAAAAAAAAACTGTATATAGCCGAAAGAAATCCTCAAATCCACACAATCCACAACGCCCAACCCTGCCCCGCCCACCAACGTATCGTCGTCTCCTGCCGCCCTAGTAGCAGTCAAACAAACTAAATGCCATAGACCGCACTTTGAGATACTTTTGTATCTTGCAGCTCGCACTGCTAAAAACAAAAAATATTGAACAAATTGTATAAAAAAGCTAATGCTAAGCTATATATATCGATATATATAACTAAAGGAAAGCGCACACAGCTGTTCCAACACTTGTAAAAAGAAAACGAAAAACAAAAAAATGGAAATGAACTTGAAATTATGTAGCTCCTAACTACAAATACATATATATGCATATATATTACACATTAAAAAAAAATATATATATAAATATATACTGCGTATGTAACTCTCTTGTATATGTACTAAATTTAAATACTTACCCTACACATATACATGCATACATACATACTACACACATACATATCGACGCAACGGTATTCAACTTCGTTCCCCCGAAAAAAACTAAATGTAAACTGTAAATTAAAAACAATTCTTAACTAAAATTTAGAGTTAAGCTACAAAACTAAAAACTAAACTAAATTAATTTTAAAAAATACAAAAAAAAAAGTGAAAAATCAAATGAAAAACTATCGTTTATTGTTATGCGTTTTAAGCTAAACTCGAATATAATCATTGCGTATGTTAAATATAAAATTAATCTAGCATTTAGTCTTAAACGTTAAGAGCATGTTGACAAATAATAATTAGTGCAAGAAAACAAAACTATAAACTATATATATATACAAAAACAAAAACAGCAAAAAAAAAAATGAAAAAAAAAAAACAAACAATTATAAACTCGAAAATATCGAATTGTAAAACGTGCCTGAAGTTGCAGAGCGCGTCAATGTATTTTGTAATTTTCTTATACATTTTATTATTTTATTTATTTAAAAAAACAAAAAACATAACATTTTTTGATGAATGTTGAGCAAATGCTGAAGAAGATGATGATGATAGTGATCATGATGAAGAAAGTTGAAAAAAATATAAAAGAAAAAATTTTATTAAAAAAATACACAAAAACAATTTAACTGCCAAGTCTTTTTATTCAATCAAACGGGAAGCAAGCGCATACAAATGAATAAAACATGAATGCCGATGAGGTATTCACATATTCAAAACGAACAAACTGTGAATAGCTTTAGATTGAACGAAATTCCCCCCTCGCTATATACCTTCGATAGCTCAGTTGGTAGAGCGGTGGACTGTAGCGGTCGCATACAAAGCATAGACATCCATAGGTCGCTGGTTCAAATCCGGCTCGAAGGATTCACTTTTTTCGTATTTTATTTATTTTTAAATATTTATACAATAAATGTAATGTGCTTGGGCAGCGTATAGAGCTTTTTGGACTTTATAAATACATGTGGAATGAGTAAAAATAGTATAAAAATATATTAAGCAAGGAAACTAATGTAGAAAGACAAGAAAAATAAATAGATCTGTTTTGATTAAAAGCTACAGTGATTTGTACATATTAACATTATTAAAAACATTAATAAAGCAGCATAGACATACAAATATATTTTATTATGTACGAAGAGGCATAAGAGTAAATACTTTTCGATTTTCATTTGCTAATTATTGCAAACAACTGTTACTGGGTGCTCCTTAAGAAGTTTAACAACTATAAAAATTATTAAAAAATTATGTAAAAAAATTTACCACGATCCTTCGAGCCGGATTTGAACCAGCGACCTATGGATGTCTACAACTTAGTTTCACACTCTACAGTCCACCGCTCTACCAACTGAGCTATCGAAGGTCTATATATGGGCTCGCCCCAAACGCGCACAAAAGCTGCCTGCTATAAAATGAATTGAGCATTGACATAAAAACAACAACAACAATTCAGATCGTATTGAAAACAAAGCTGAATGCGTTTGCCAATGCTTATCACAGCATAAAAAACTGCCCAGCAGCAGGTGTTGCCATAACGGGGAGTGTGGAGTGGCGAGAGGAGCATATTACGTGTTAAGCGCTGCTGGCGTTAAGCTGATAACAAGCGCAAGCGAATTTGTTTTTTAAAAAGTATAGCAAAAAAAGAAAACTATAAATAAATACACATGTGCGTATAAAGAAATCACTCAATGCACAAGCCGTTTGTATTTTTTCCAACGATACGAATTCCCATGAAAAAACACACAAAGCGTGTCAGTTCAGCAGTATTTATATGCACATATATACCGTATAAACAAAGCTGGTAACAAATCGCGTATCTCACTGCGGGGTAAAACTGTTAAGTCTGGCATAAACAATGCCTCAACAGGCAAATTGTTGACGAGCCAATTAGAATGGCATAAAAAAGCGAAGTAAAAACAACAACAAAAACAACAGCAAAAATAATAAAAATAATACATGATTATAATCTACAATGAGTTTTTAATCAATGAACTTGCCAGCAGCTCAACTAATTAGTAACGGCACATAAATCAGCTTCGAATTAAATATGCCATAAATTTAATACTTACAGACTTTTATTACTTAACACCTTCACAAATTATGTGTAAAAAATCAAAATTAAGGCAAAAAAAAAAAAATAATAAAATAAAATTGATCAAGACAAAATTTAGTTTTCAAAATAATTAAAAGTGTATTTAGAAAAGTATATATATGTATTAAGAGCTTATTCTTAAAGCCAAAGCGCACCAATATATAAACAATTATACTAATTTAAATTCATGTGGAAGCTATTATATGATATTGGTTTGGTCTTATCTCAATGTTTCCACACAAAAACTCATATTTGGTCAGATTGTTCCTATGACAGCTGTATCATATATTAGCCACATCTTGCTGATCAAGAATATTTATGCTAAATGAGGTTGGAGAAGAAACCTTCAATGCGTTGCAAACTTCACAACAAAATTATAATGCAATCCGTAAGGGTAACCAATCACTGAGTGATCTAAATATGATGCAACTTTGGCACATATACATGAAAAGCATTTATAATAAAACAAATATGTTAATAATTATACAATTTGTAGGTCTGTGTGCGCTGATAAGACGTAGGATTGCCCCAGACTCGCAATTGAGGTTTTTGTCACAGAAAAAAATTGACTTGATGTTATTTATAGAAACACACACATACGAAGACAGATTACAAAAACGTTGCAATGCCGCTTCAAGTTCGACTGTGCAACAGAACAACTACAGACAGTGAGAGAGAAGAGAGAGAGAGAGAGAGAGGTAGTGAGAGATAGAGATGGACTCAAGAGAGACTCAGTAGTCCAAGTGAGATATGTGAGTCATGTGGGGATTTTATTTTATTTTATTTTTCTTTATCAACGGTCTGTAAATTAATTTATCCACTACAAAGTCAATTTTCGGCTCAATTAAATGACTCATCAGGCAGCAAGAAGATGCTGCAAAGTTGCTGCTGCTGCTGCTGCTGCTGCCACACAGGATGAAAAGAGACAGCGGCGGTGAGAAGACAGCCTGCAAAACAATCATCTGTTGCTAAAAACCAAATAAAAAAAATAAAATGAAAAATGTAGGAAGAGAAACTAAGAAAAATATTGTCAAAAAATGGATAGAAAATTTTCTTGGAACGTTGGCAATTTTGTAGATTTTGTCCAGGCGATAAGACGCCCACATAAGTGGAGAGGTAAACTGAAGATTCATTCAATCATAGCTGGAAATTGATACCAACATCAAGAGAGCAACACCGAAAAGTCAGAAAAGATCGTTTGGCTTTGATAAGGCGAATGGAAAAACTATTTGAGTCATTCTTAAAAATTATGAACATTTCTTGTAAGATACCTGAGCAAATTACAGCCTCACCGCGGGGCACTCACCCTCTACCCAAGCCTCTCTCTTCTTCTCTCTCTCTCTCTCTCTATCCCGTTCTCTATGAGAAAGGGGCAATCATTTTCTTATCTAACAAGACAGCTTGGGCAATCGATCCAACAACACACAGCAGTTTCCAGAGGGCTCTTTTACCTTACTCAATGGATCACACAAATTGCCGCAACGGCGCTTACTTCTCCTCCACCTTCTCTCCAGGCATCTTCTCCTCACGACGACTCTACTCTGAGTCCAGAGAGCTCTATCTCTGCCCCGACCTCGACCTCAAACTCTTCGTGTGTTTTTGTCAGTAATTATCCGTAAGCTGTCAGTTTTTTCGCTCCGCTTGCTGCTCCTCGACCCTTGGCTGCTCTAACCTTTGAGCTATATGGAGTACAGTAAACACTTGTCCAATAGAACTTTTACAAGTTTACAGAATTTAGAGTTGTTCTCTTCGATGCACTTCAAGTTTTTAAATCCTTTGAGACAGTTTAACAATATCGTTAAATAAATCTTCATATTATTATTTATATGATTAATGTTAAACTGTTTCAAAGAATGTCATCAATGTATATATATATTAATATTATTATAAGGTATACTTTATCTACAGTCTATTATTTTAATATTTCCATTATTCCCTTTGTTTAATATAACAACTGAAATGTATTTTATTCACTCATTTCCCATGATTAACAAAGTTAATCCCAAGTGAAAATCAGCAGTAAGAAGCAACACGTGCTTTTGCATAGAGTGTTCACTGTACATATACAATATATAGATTAACTGATATTGCCGCTCGCTGCTCTCGTTGGGTTTCATTTTTATGGCTTGCTGCCTTCTTTTTTCATGTTTTTTATTCTGTGTTTTTGGCATCCTAATTGGTTTGTTAAGTATCTCTCGCTCTGGCGAGTGTCTATGTGTGTGTGTGTGCGAGAGTGTGTGTGTTTGCATCTCTCGCTTATCAGCAACACTTTGCGAGGCGCCGCCGCTGCGGTAGTTTGCTCTAGGCCGGGCCAAGAAGCCAAGTGCTTAGCCGCCACCTGCCTCTCTGATAAGGCCAATATGCCCAAAGATTTGTCTTGTGGCTCGCTTTGCGTGCTTGCAGCATGATTCACTCATTTGTTGTTGTTCTTGTTGTTGGCCACAGGCGAAGGAAGGCGCTAGCGTCTCCTGCAGTTTACGATGACTCACGCTGGCATTTTGCTGCATAATATTTCCTACTAGGTGGCCAAAGTTGTTTATTGGTCGCATCACCTTGTTCTTTATTTCTAAGCGCCGAAAAATCAAATACCGAAAAAAGGAAAAACAAAGTCAAAAGCAAAAACAAAAGCAAAAGCAAAAGAAAAACAAAGCTAAAACAACAACGCAAACGGCACAGCGAAAAAACGTTCGTTGCTGTCGCTGCAGAAAGCGCGCATGAAAAGCTGTTTCGCTTGCGCGCACATCCCCGTCTCTCTATGTCTCTCTGTCACACTCACTGCAGCTTTCGCTCGTGAGTACCGTTTTGATTTATTCACACTCTCGCTTACTGATAACTTAACGAATTCGTTTCGGATGCTCTTGTATGCGTTTTGGCACACTAAGTGTATCGACCTTCGATAGCTCAGTTGGTAGAGCGGTGGACTGTAGTGAGAAATTGCAACGTTGTAGACATCCATAGGTCGCTGGTTCAAATCCGGCTCGAAGGATCTCAATTTTTTTGTTTTTCTAATTATTTTCTTTTAATTGAGAGCATTGTTTTTATATTAAAAGCATTTATTGTGGCTGGCCACTAAGTTACATTATTTTAAAATGCAGAGAAAGAGTAAAATTTGTATTTGCGCTTCTAAAAATAAATTGTGTAAATAAATACTACGTTTTTTTTAGTTATATGCAGATGATTGTGTTGAAATATTATGGGAAGCGATGGTCATATTTATAAATCTTACAATTAGTATGAAATATATTGTTTAATACACTAAAGTTTTAGAGTTACTTAAAGACAAGCTTCTCCGCCTATTTTTAAGTCACAAAAATGTTGTGGAACATTTCCATACATTATTTCTAAGTTAAATTTGAGATCGGAGTAAACGATAAATTCTAAAAGCAAAAATAGACTTAAGCCAGACATTATTAACAGACCAATAATTTACTTATTATTAAAGTAGACTGTGCAGCTAGAAGGTCTATAAAA